CTAATGTTGAACCATCCTTGCATCCCTGATATGAATCCCACTTGATCATGATGTATTATCTTTTTGATGTGTTGCTGAATTCTGTTGGCTACGATTTTGTTGAGAATTAAGGTCTTTTAATGGATTGGATCAGGTCCACCTAGCAGCCTGACCCCCTTCCTCTGTAGAGTGGGCAGAACTGTGGTGAAGGCACCATTTAGGGGCTGATTCAGCCCTGCTTCCTTGATAGTCACATACTGAGTATCTCTGCCACCCAACTTGCCACTAACAACTCTTTCTTGCCTCTGTCACCAGCAATATGAAGAAGCTGCAGTACGAGGGGGAGAAGTCATTGCAGTCTGTGGCACAGTAAGGAGACTGTCATTTCTTCCATTGCTGGCTCCTGGGGCAAGGGCTACCTCCCCTCATTACTGACCCTTCTTGGTTGCAGGGTACATTACCCTCAGCCCAAGCTACTGGAACAGAGGTAGGTTCTGATTAGGGCTTGTGAGCACTGGATGGAGGAGGTGGAAGAAGGGGTCAGCAGAGGTCCTGATTTATAAGGTGTGATGGTGGAGGTGGAGCTTCAGCATGGCTTTGAGCCCATATAGTCTGGAACTATGGGAGGACAGGATCTGCGAGTTAGACTTAATATGCCACTAGATATGCCATCCTAGATATGCCACTAGCTAGGTGACCTCGGGCATGTTTCCTAACTACCTGAACTTTTTTTGTTTAAGCAGATAATAATGTCCCTACTTCTCATTTATTGACTACCCCATTATCTACTATCTGACTATTTTGCATATTAATGATGTACATCAGGCAGTAAGCCATGCTGAGGTGTGAGGTTTGAGTGAGGCTGGCTGTGATGGTTACAATTATGTGTTCTGTGTTACCGTGGTTAGGCTAGGATTCTGTAGTTTGGCAGTTAGGTAGCCATGTTGTTATCCTCCATTTTATGATCCAAGGTGCTCAACCTCCTTTTTCACATAATGCCGATTTTTGCATGATGACCTGGTGTTTGGAACCTAGCTATGTCGGTAAGTGAGGTAGGTACAGTACCTACCTCATAGGAGAAAGATCACTGGTGGGGCAATGGCCGCTAACTGAAAGGTCAGTGATTCAAACCCACCAGCAGTTCTGCAGGAGAAAAGACTGGGTGATCTGTTCCTATAAGATGACAGCCTAGGAAATCCTATGGGATAGTTCTCCTTGGTCCTATAGAATCGCTATGAGTTGGAATTGACTTGTAAGCACACACAACAATAGCTTCACAGGAAATTGGGAGACCAGATGAAACCATGTTTATAAAATGTGCTTGCCCCATAGTGGTGCTTGGTAGGCTATCATTAATAGTATCAGCACTGTTAGTGTTGTTGTTGAAACACTCAGAGACACGTGAAATGGCAGGTTTCTCCAAATGCTTATGTGTATTGACTTCTGATCTTCCCAACCGCACTGAACAACAAAATCCAACCTGTTGCTGTGAAGGTAATTCCAACTTATAGTGACCCTAGAGGACAAAGATGAACTGGACTTCCCAAGACTGTAATTTTTACAAGAGTAGACTGCCACATTTTACCCCCCACAGAGTAGTTGGTGGGTTTGAACTATCGACCTTTCGGTTACCAGCAGAGTGCTTAACCACTGCTCTACTGGGTTCCTTATCCCCACTTTCCATATGAGGAAACTGAGATTTTTAAGAGTTGCCCTGGCCACACACTGTGTGGGAGGCAGAGCCAGGCTGACTTGAGTTTTCAGGGAAGGTCTCAGTCCCCACATAGACTCCTCTGCTGCCAGGTCCACAGAGCTGTTGACACTCACACCCTGGCTGGCACCAATCATCTCTGAGGGAACCTTTGACCTGATGCTTCTGCAGAACATCTACCAGCTGCTGAACCTGACCATTGCACTCACAGTGTTTGCCGTGGGGAGGTGAGTCCTGACCTGAGGCACAGGAGCTTATGATCTAGGGCTGATCTGGGACCTGGCCTGGGACCACTGAAGACCCCAAGCCAGGTGCTGATTACATGGGCAGGTGGATAATAGGGTGTGGTGGGTGGGTATGTCAGGAGTACTTGCTAGAGGAGGAGGCCTGGCCCTGGTCTGGAGAGAGCTGGGAGGCAGCCTAGGGGAGGGAATAGCAGGAACTGCTTCCCTTGAACAGTTCAGGTAAGTCGTAAAGAACGAAAACACCCCCTAGACCACTTCATATAAATGGGGTTCATTGGCCATAGGGCAGGGGCACAGGCAGGCCTCAGGACCCTCTCTCCTCCCTCTCTCCTGTCCCACCTTCTGGGTCTCCCCTCTACTCCCCTCTCTCCTTCCTGGCCCCACATGGCCTTCGCTTTAGGAGCTACTACCTGACAACTTCCCTTGAGATCCCTTCCTGGGACTCCTGAGAGAGGAAGTGTGAGGGGCCACAAGGCCTAAAGCACTGGCCAGATGATGAATGGCCCCTCATACACCCACTTCCAGCCATGGAGTCCACTGCCCACTCTACCCCCAGTGTCCACAGATCCCTCCCTGGATTCCTCCACTTACTTGTTTCTGATGACTTTCATCCATGAACACCAGTGTCCCTGCCTGTAAAAAAGAGATTGTAATGCCTCGTATAGAAAGAGGTAAGAATCCCACAGCACACTTAGAAAGTGCTCAATAAAAGTTAGCTCAAATATAAGAATTGTTATTGTTAAGTATCATCCTTACAACAGTCTTAAGGGGTTGGTCCTATTATTTAAATTTGACAGATTACAAGCGACCTTTGGGGTCAGGCCGTAGTCACTCTTGAGGTGGGGAGCTGGGAGGTGAACCCCATCCTAGCTAGCTGCAGAACTCGTGCCACACATGGTGCCTGCATACAGTGGACCCCTACTCAGGGGCTGTGCTGTGGTGGTTGTGGATATGGACTAGGGTCTTATCACCAGGTACACCCACTTGGTCTAGCACTTCCTGGAGTCAGCCAAGACATTCTTCATGCAGGATTACTATGTGTACTACTACATCTCCACCAATGACCCAGGAACCATACCCTAAATCCCGCTGGGCCCTGGTTGGCTCCTCAGCATCATTCCTATCCAGGGCCACTCCCACTGGGAGGAGATCTCCATGTGACAGATGGAGATTGTCAGCCGGCATATTGCCAAGAGGGCAAACCATGAGGTGGACTACCTTTTCTGCCTCGATGTGGATATGGTGTTCCAGAACTCATGGGGCCCTGAGACCTTGGGGGACCTGGTGGCTGCCATTCATCCAGGCTACTATGCTGTGCACCGCCAGTGGTTTCCCTATGAGCACAGGTGTGTTTCTACTGCCTTTGTGGAGGACAATGAAGAGGACTTTTATTATGGTGGAGCAGTCTGTGGGGGCCAGGTGTCCAGAGTGTGTGAGTTCACCAGGGGCTGCCACATGGCCATCCTGGCGGACAAGGCCAATGGTATCATGGCAGCCTGGCAAGAGGAAAGCCACCTGAACTGCCATTTCATCTCCCACAAACCTTCCACGGTGCCGTCCCCTGAGTACCTCTGGGATGACAAGAAGCCCTAGCCACCTACTTTGAAGCTGATCTGCTTTTCAACACTGGACAAGGACACCAGCTGGTTAAGGGGCTGATGGCAGAACAGAGGCTGTCATGTACCCAAAGCCCTGCAGCTAGTTCCCACCAGCAGAGAACTTGAGTCCTTTCAGCGGAGCACCCAGGTTACCCCCTATAGAGCCACCTTGCTCCAGTACCTCATTTCTTCAAGTCTTTGGTAGGCACCAGCCCTGCTCCGCTTTACCTTTCAATCTGTCAGGAGAATCCAGCCAGACAATGGACATGGAAAAGTCTTTATTGGTCACATGCAAACACTAATGTAGTCCAAGAATGGCGGGACAGGCAGACGGGACTAAGGTGCAAGAAGGCAGGATGTGGTGGGCCTCCCACAGGACAAGTGCCTTCAGGGTGAGGCTGCTGAGCCTCAGCCCCACTCAAATGCCTACAATCCCACCCCAGTCCCTATTCTGGTTGCATATTGCCTACAGTTGCACTGCTCACACTGGTGTGAAAGACTTCCCAGACCCCTTTTCTCTGGCTGCAAGGATCCAGCACACTGTGATGCTCCCAGACACAGGCAGCCACATCCTCGCTCAAGCCAGGAAGGAGACTTTGAAATGGGAAAAGTCTAGGTGAACCCCCACCACATGGCCAGCCATACACCCTTTGTACCAGCTGATTCCTTTGTAACAGGGCTTGGGCTAGTTTTAATAAAGGTAGCATGTGATGGGCCCTCACCAGAGATCTGTCCACTACGTATCTGAGTCTCTGCTCTGCCAGGCACTGGAGACCCAAGCAGCTTGGATTTCAAACACACTAGTTGCAGTAGAGGTAAGGGGGTGCAGCTTTCCCAGAAAACCTGGGCTAAAGCCAGCTGCTACAACAGATTGTGGGACTTAGTTGAAGTGGGAGTCTGCTAATGATAGACTACAAGCCTTTGGACTTTTTCTATTGGTCCCTGACTCTATCATTGATAGGTATCTAGGGCTAACCTCAGCTCCATGAGGCCCCACCCAGACTGGCATGAGGCTCCCAAGGATTAGAAGGTGTGTAAGGGTGGAGTCCTGGGTTAATGTGCTTAACTGCAAAGTCAGTTGGAACTACAAGGTTGGTGGTTCAAGCTCACCAGCTGCTCATTGGAAACCCTATACAGAGTCATTATGAGTTGGAACTGACTTGACAAGAAGGTTGGCCAAGCCAGCCAGGGCCAAAGAGACTTCAGACCTGTAGTGACTCTGTCTGCCTGAGAGGGTGGACATGGAGCTGGGGTTGGGGCTGGGTTCCCTGGAGACTGCAGCATCTTTTCCACTGAAGGGGGATTTGGAGGATAGGGAGAAGAGGCAGACTGGTGATCCAGTCGCCCCCAGTGGGGAACACCTCCCAGGACTGTCTGGCCTGCCGAAGGAGAAGGCAAGACCTGCCTTCTGGGAAGACGGTAGCACTGCCTTCTGGGAAGGCCTGGACAGCTCTGGCTTAGCAGAGAAGGGAGCTTGGTCTCCTCACTTGCAGCTCAGGTGTCTCTGATGGGTGCTTCTCAGTCTTGGTCTAAGCCCCTAGGGACTATAGCTCACTCTAGTCCCAGGGTGTAACTTGAGGCAACTGATAAGCGCAGGAATCCAATTCCTGGAACCAAACCAGGCCAGGCCACTTTCTAGAAAGGAATTGAGGCCAGAGCTGCTTTGTGGGTGGGAAGAAGTCAAGGGGCTGGGGGCTGGGTGAAAGACCTGACCCAGCCGACAGGCATTGGCAGGGGAAGCCAGGGCAGAGTTATACAGGATGAGGTCCTAGTTTTTCCAAACTACAGGGACCAGTCTTGTCAGATTGAAGGATTTGTGGGCTTGGACTTTTTTTTTTTTAATTGAGAGGCACTTCTCTACAAAATATCACAAAAATGACAAATACAACAGTGCTTTGCTGCCTTCCCTGTCTTAAAATGAAGTCCCTTAAGTTTCCTGTCCTTTCTCATGGCCAACTAACTACCTCTCTTCCCACCCATTACAGCCCAATGCCATCTTGACTTACAATGTATGAACCAATGCACTCTTCTAGCATAAACTAATCTTCTAGCATAAGCCTGCCTTGACTCCCTCCAGAGTGAATGTTCCCATAATACATCTTCCTCAGCCTCGGAAACCCTCTACAGGGTCGCTATGGGCTGGAACCGACTTCAAAGCACATAACTACCATCACCATCTCTGTTATTCATAATGTGCTTTATGTCTACCTCACTACCTCTCCAAGAGGGCCCAGATGGTGCCTGACCAGGCCTTGTTGGACTGGCCTTCAAGGCAAGACTTGGAGGCCACCTCTTTGGGGCTCTTCTACAAAGTACAAGAGCCTTTGGGGTTAGATTGACCTAGGTTCAAACCCACAGCAGAGCACATGGCCTAGCCTATGTGATAGGCAAGTTCATGTCATGATTCCTAGGAGCCTCAGTTTCCTCGATTGCTAATGGAGGAAATGAAGGTGTGTTGAGATTCAATCAGGGGAAATGAAAGTACCTGAGGTGCTTGGACTGCAGAGGTCTGCTTAATCTGGGGAGCCCTCAGCAAGGGAGGAGGTCTCTGATGATCAGTTGGGTTGTTGGTGATGTTTAAGAGCATGGCTACTCAGCCCCACGTTGGAGGCTGGGCTTGGTTCCTTAGAGCTGTTGAACTTGGGGGTGATGCCAGTGGCCTATCTGTAAAATGGAATGAAATCACTGAGTGCCCAGGAAGGGATCCCTAACAACAAGCAACTACAGGACTGATCCAGCCTGCCTGCCTGCCTTACCTTTCTGGCCTCCCTCCCACCACTAGTGCTTCAGCCAGGGATAGGCCCTAGGGCTTTGTCAGCAAGATCAGGAGGAAGAAAGAGAAGGGTGAGGGATGGGGAAGGCCACCCAACCTTCTCCCCTGCTTGGACTCCCTGGCCTGCTCCAGGGCCCCTGACCCTGGCTGTTCCCTTAGCCAGCCCTTGAGGGAGGTTTCAGGGGACCAGGACGGTGGGAGGGAGATTCAATGGGTCTTGTGTCTTGAGGTTCTCCATGCCCACCTGGCTTAGAGCGTCAGGTGGGTCGTGGTCGAAGGGGTGAAGGGGAGAGAAGGTCCTCGAGGTGTAGAGGTGTAGGACACTTGGGACCCGCCGCTCCGAGCCGCTGGCTGATGAGTGGCGCGTGCGGTGAGGCGGGGCTTACGTGCACGAGCTGTCCTCGGGCCCGCGCAGGCCTCGTGTGCGCGCCTGGACGTGGACACGCGGCCTGGTTGCCCTGCGTAGTGTCCACTCGAGTCCGCAAGCCTTAGAGAAACCGCGCACCAGTGGGTACCCCAGTCCGTAGGGCCCGCCCCTTGCACCTGCGGGAAGGGCTGGGGCGGGGCCGGGGCGGGGCTGTGGTTTTCCCCGCCCACCCAGGCCTGAGCGGATCCACGGGAGTCTCCGCGGATCCGAGCGGCTGGGCCGAGCGATCAGCAGCAGAGCGCGGCGCGGCGCAGACAATGGGAGCAGCGCTGGCGGCAGCTGCAGTGGCCGGGACGGAGAGGAGGGCCGCTGAGCCCCGGGCCTGGCAGGGGAGGGAGGCCGCGCCATGAGCCCTGCAGCCGCGCGCCCCCCTGCGCCGCGCGCGGGTCGAGGCGAGCGGCCGCTGAGAGCCCCGGGCTCCGCCCTGGGGCCGGCGATGAGCGGTCGAGGCTGAGGATGATGGTAGATTGCCAGGTGAGTGTCCCTCCCAGTCCAGGCTGCCCTTACCGCTGTCGAGGGTGGGATGTGGGGGGAGACCACACACCCTAGGCCCACACCTCAGCCAATGTTGGGGACCTGGCCCTGTCCTTGCTGAGCGCGCGCTTTTGCAGTTCCCATGACCAGTCCCTTATTGTACATTTGGAAAACTGAAGCCCAGAGAGAGGCAGACAGGTCCAGGGGCAGAGATAAAGATAGCGTAGGGTTCCAGTCTCCTAGGCCAGGACTCAACCGTCTCCGTGGGGTATGATTTGGAAATGAGAGCCCCTGAGATCTGGGGGACCCCTGTTTACCCCTCCCCACGTGGAAATGTTTCCTTTCCACATCCCCACACGTGCACAGGTGCGCGCGCGTGCACACGCATACACACACTCGCGAGTGCGCTGACTTTAAAGGTGGACACCATGGGGGTAAGATCGGAGGATGAATGACCCCTGAGGAGGTGACAAGGAGGGAAGAAGAAAGAGGTTAGAGACAGCTGGCATCTAGTCTCCTAGCAACATGCCCATGATCTATAGCATAGGGAGGGGGAGAGATGCCAGGCTGATGGGTAAGGGGATCCCCAAGATTTCCAAATCAACCTTGAGAGGACTGGGCCTGGAGTTCTGCAGTCCACTGCTCCTGGACTAAGAAAGTGTCCCTAATGTGAAGGGGGACTACAGGAGAAAAGTCCTCAGGATCTCCCTCTGTAAACAGGGGTGCTTGGAGTGCGTGAATTACCACAGGCACAGAGAAGTGTCTATTAGCCTTGATTCACCACCACTGACCTACTAGGTATGGGAGCTTTGGAAAAGAATCTCTACTCTCTAGAGGTCATCCAAGCAGAGAGACACTTGGGGTTCTGGAGCACTGAGGACTTGGGGTAGGGCAGAGCCTGGATGGTGAGTCGGGAGTTCAGATTCAAGACGTTGCTGGAATCTTGGCGTCCTCCTTTGGAAATGGTACTGAAACATTGCCCTAGTGTGGCAAGGCTACCTCGTCACTGGACAGAACGTCCCAGGGCGAGTGGAGGCAAAGTGTAGGAAACAGGAGACTTTTGAGATTCTTTGCACTCCTCGTGGAACCTCAGGTCCCTCTCCTCTGCCCACTGGGACTAAGGAGAGGTGCCGCCTTGACAACACGGGAACAAAGGTATATGTTTTGTTTTGTGATTTTCCTGCTAGGGACTGCAGTGCTAGTGCTGGCCACCAGGGGGCAGGCAGCCCCTTCTGGTAGTGGTACCCTCTGAGCTTTGTAGGCGAGAGTCACTCAGAGGTCATTCTGGCCACCCCCTTCCCCATATTTGCACCTCCTATTGCTAACATCCATTTCTACATTTGAGATGGTGAGGATGTTTAAGATCCTCTCATTTATTCATTCAATA